ACATTGCACTCAAAATTAGTTGATTTGTATATGTATAGAAGATATTTTGTACATCCAAATCCTTTTTTTACACGGTTTTTTTTACCCGAATTTAAAATAAGACCGTTCACCAGTAAGAACAAATATATTTTTTTACAGGAATTTTTTGTTTTAAATGGATTACCAAAAAAATTTGTTGTTTTGTGTTAGAGGGTTCGTGTTCGTGTAGGATGCAACAAAAATTACAACAGAGTTCTAAAAGTTGATGTTCAAATTAAAGTTTTTCTAATTCGATAAGAAAATTTCCAATATCACATATATTGATGTATAATTTATTGATTGAGAAATTAATTTTTAATTCCCAATTGCAATTGAAGTACTTACATGGTGTACTTAATGCCGAGTGAATTTTCACTGTACACCATTTTTTTTTTTTTCTTGTAACAAAAAAAAATTATTTTTGCTTTTTAAATATTTAATATGGATTACTTTTATCTCCAAATTTATGCCACGTGTGGCGCATGCATTTTTTTACATGAATTCCTTTGGACGGTTTTCTAAGGAACGTATGTACCGTGCAAAAAAAAGAATTGAATGTATATGTAAATATTAAAAATATAGTCAACGAAGATACGATACGTACGCGAATAAGAGCAATGTTTGCTTAGGAATTGTTCTGGAAAATAGTTCCCATTCGTAATAAACTTTAACGGAAATATCACATAGCTTGGCATTCATAAACGTGTGTATTGTTCTTTGTACATGTAAATTAAGAAAGTAACAATACGTAGCAAGAGCAATAGCGATAAAGCCCTTGTAATGCGCAAAAACAATAACCAACATAAACAATTTCCTATTATAGTACGATGATTTGTACGCAAGGGTACCATAGAACAGAGGAAATTCAAAGGCAAAGTATTTTATTATCGAAAGGAAAAAGTCTCCTTTTATGTAAATTTTTGCTTATTATACTTATTTCTATGGATGTCTAGTGTACACAGAAGCTTTATTTATTAGCATAATCGCACTCAATGTCAATGACAATGACCGGACATCTTGTGTATAAATCTGTTTTAAGTCTTTTAATTGCGATACAAACTTACTTCGATTGGTAACCGCATTAAATTCTCAGAGCTGCTAACAAAACGATTATATTGTTCGGTAGCCATGGCTAAGCGACCAGTCTCATAACAAAATAGAGCACAGTTCAGGTATATTAAAGGTGATGACGGAAGCATTGCTGTGGCACGTTCAAATGCGACATAAGCATTATCGAAATCCTCCAATTTACGTAAACAAACTTAAATAGAGTTTTTGTTGACGTTACGTTTGTGAATGTAACGTCAATGGTTTAAAATTTTAAAAAGTTTTTTATTTTAATTAAATAATTAATTAATTAGCTAGTTAAATATAAAAAGTTAATAGATCAAATTAATAAATTAACTTATAAAAAAAAAATTTTTCTCTTTTTTAAATTAAGTTATTTATTATATAATTATATTTTAATTAAATATTTTTAACTTAATAACTAATTAACTATTAATTAATTGTTTTTAATTAATTAAAATATATTAATTTTTAATTCATTAATTTG